AGTATTGATCATTACATTTGAATAAAACTTGGTACATAAATGCTCTAGGACAATAGACAGCCCGATTAATTTTGGGTTAAAATCTGTTCATATTAATTCTCTAATTGGCATAATAATTAATATTTGTTTGGTTCTAATCACATTCCAATGAAACTTGGTACATTGTGCAGACCTTTAGTTTTACACTTAAATCTGTTCATATTAGTTACCTTATTTGCATAATTAGTTTTCAGCTATTCCATCAATATCTCAAGTATAAGTAATTATGAATTAATTTTTAATGTGTCTCCAATACTCTTCTCAGCACACGGGAGTTCTTTCTAAGCTTTCTTTGATTTTCACTGCTTGCAAATTATTTTCCTTGATGCACTCAACAAAGTCAAAGCAGACGTACAACATTCGTTGCAGAACGCGTGAAAAGTACTTCGCGTTCCACTCGCTTTGAAGTTGCCGCCTATGCTAATGAGCATAGTCGTCGGGACGATGGCGATAACGTTACACCGTAAATAGGCAGTCAAAACCAACGTGCACGTTACACTATTTAAGTTTTCTAGCCAGCGGTGTGATGTGTTTAATCACCGTAAACCATGTGTCGTTTGTTTGGTCCCACAATTTGTCTTCCATGTGCTTGCCGATCACCGAACAGTGCGGCATGTCGCCGGTACATAGTGTTTACACACTTTTTTTTATTGTACCATTTTTACCATTTAAAACTTAATTAGCCCCCGCCGGATCTGCGATCCGGGCGGGGGGTATTAATTTGGGTCGTGTCTGTGCAATGTGTGTGCACATTTTCATGTTACCAGCTTTTTCTCACGCATGTGTGATCCAATTCAGTTCAGAGTTGGTACAGAGACAGAAATTGATGGTGCTATTGTGCACATCAAGTTATTTTTTCGATTCTTCAAAGTTTCACTGTGTTTTTCCTTGATTTTTAACATTTTTCCTTCAAAATCCGACTTTTCCCGAAATTACCCGAGTTTAATCCGAGTTTTGATGACGCTTACGCAGTTCTCGTCTCTGTGGAAATCAGTCAATTTTGTGAGGATATTGTATCCCGGAATTGTTTCTTTATTTGCGCAACGCTTCTATGGACAAAATTGTGTCTAGTCAATTTCAAAGGTAAGAAACTGTGCTTGTTATGGTATTTATACACTTTGTATTATGATTTCCACAGCTATTGTTCTATGAGATGCGTCCTCGCTGTTCATAAACAAGTTTAGTTGGGTCGGCATGTACTCATTGAAAGTGTTGGTTTATTTACGTAATCCACTGATCACGCAATAGGCGAAGTTAAAACAATGTCGCTACTCAGGAGAGCTTGCCCACAACGCTAAATGTCTAAATATAAACGTATCGGTACGTTTATTTTTTCCACAGAAAAATTCCACCCAGCACATTTTTATTTGGGACGGT